CAAAAGGAGGCAACAGTTTATGTTCTTGGCGGGGGCAGAAAGGACATTTTTTTTTTCTTTTTTGGTCTTTGCATCGTTGGACTTTTTATTTTTTAGTGCTGTTTCAGTCGCCCAGACTGGGGCAATCTTCTTGTAAAGCTATAGCAGACCTGCCAACTTTCTCTTTTTTGGAATCCTTATTAAAGGCAAGTTGCTTAGACTTTTTGTTCTTTCCCTGGTTAGAGAAAGTGGTTAAAGAAGAACGTCAAAGCGTGATTGAAACAGAACAGCTCGTGGTTCGGTCCTTTACATAACGTTCTTTGGTTGGCATAGAAATAACACTTTTTCTCGGGGTTTGTTTTGTTTTGTTTTTAAAGAAGAAGAATGAGCAAGAGGTAAGAAAATAGGCATTTAAGAATCTGGACAAGAAAGTAATTTTTAGACGACATTGAATATCTTGCTGGCTGGTAGGGGTTTTGTTTTCGTTCTGGACACGTGTGATTTCCAGCTTCTCATCGGCTTCATCTCAACACAAGAAACTTGTCGTTTGCTTCCTCTTTCCTCAGACGAAGCAGGAAGACGTTTTATTTATTTTATTTTGTCGCTATTTATTTGATTGGACACGCTTGTCAAGTCATTAAAATTAAGAGATTCACAACACAGTTAATTACCCAATATGAGCAGAGTGTAATACATGCTAGCGGTCTTAACCCAGACTTTTATAATTCTCCATTCTGAAAAAATAAAATACAACAATTCAGAGGTTATCCAAAGATATCAAAGCTTTGGGGAAGTTGTGTTTTTTCCCCTAACTTCACCTTTAAACTGCTTGGACCATGAAATGAGTAACTGTAGATACAGTATATTTTTTCCAGTTTTTAAATTGGGACTAAGAGCCCATAGTATACATAGAGTGATTTCTAAAATGAAATCAGTTACAGTCAAACAACTGCAAAACAGAAAGCATTCAACTTTAGAGTCTATGGTGGAACATTCAGGATTCGGGATTTTGTGCAAAACTTCGTGGTATTTGGATTCAGAAAGGAAAGGATATTCAAACCCCGAGTTTTTACAGTGCCCCCCTTTCAGAGTGGCCATATGTGTCCCCGATAGCACAGTATCAGGTATGTGTGGTCCCAAGTTCTGAGGGGTACTAGCTAAAGTATTGCTGCCATTGAACCTGGAATGTGAAAAACTGCTAACATGATATGAAAGTGCAGCCCGTATTGCTAAAGTTGTTTTCGTGGTGGATTGATACTCTCTGTTCTAACTGCAGAGATTCTACTTGGTCTCAATCTGCAGTTGTTCCCTGCCTGGCCAGTGTCAGTATTTCTCTCCTTTCCTTCCATTGAATGGAAAACAATAAGTGTGCCTCGAGAGCCATTTGGGATGGTGCTACATGGTGTTTTAAGGGGGAAGTAAGGGTCACCCCTTCAAAGCAAAACTAAAAACAAAGTTAGTCTAAATCTAACAGAGATTGCTCCATACATACAAGGAAACTAACTCAATCCTTTAGTCTTTCATGTCAATAGTAAATGATGGGGGAGGGGGCAGGATAAAGACCCTAAACAGTTTCTAAAATGTATCCACTCAAGCAAAGCCAACATCTCTGAACAAAAAGTATCCACTTTGTGAGTATTTGGGTATCTTTGCAGGCTATGCGGAGATAATGCAAAAAGGAACACATAGAACGGTTTTACTAAAAGCCAGACAAGTGTTTCCTGAGGTCTCATCAAGGAGACTCAAAGCCCGAGACAAGGAATCACAGTTCCTTTCCTCTTTTGAAGGGACAATGGTTACCAAATCTGGCCGAGCAAACTCCCACTGGCTTCAGCATCCCTTACAATCATGCTCTCCGTGGATGAATCAATTGTGCGCGAACTGGTGAGCCCTGGGCTTTTATTAGCACGCTTGCATAGGCTCACAATGGTTCTCCATGCTTTCTGTAAGCACACATCAAACCCAGCATCCAGTGCTTGTGATGAAGACAGTGCAGTTGCTAAGCGAGGAACCCTGAGTTTTATGTCTGTTTTGTTTCGCCAGCTCAAAAACATAATTGTCACCTGAAAAACACACCTAAGGAGTAAATGGTTTTTCTTCCTTAATAAAATACATATTTAGGACAGTACACCATTATCTATTCAGTTATTTACCTTGCAACTTTAAAGTATATCATTTCCATTCTTCCAAGTAGAAATTCAGCCACAATCAAAACATCATTCATTCAACAGTTGAACACTGTCATCCACCTATTTGTGCTACCCACCAAGTGATCTATGTCATATCTCATGAAGAAGAATGACCCAAAAAATGCAAGTTCAAGGTACACTATTCAGATAATCTATTCAGAATATGGCATGAAGTTTAAAATGAGCAATGTTCTGCACCAGGGCTCTCTATCAAGTACTTAAGCCTTCTGCATAATGAAAATCTCCATTTCTAGTTTACTCATAATCATTTTAATGTCTCACCTTTTTTTTCTCTTACATTGAGAAAAAAAGTATCTACTTTTAAGATATTTGGTTTCTTTGGAAAATTTCAAATGAATGAAACAAACAATGCCTGAAACTGAGAATCCTACTTGAACAAGATTAATTTTTCCTTAACCATTCATTCCAACAGTAAAGATATTGCTATAGGACAGGTTAATTTAAAAGGAATTCTGTGTCCATGAAATCTGACCTCAAAGGAATTAATTATAGAAAAACCTATAAAATGTCAGTTCAAATAAATCTTCAACTTAAAATTAAAAAGTTACAAAGCATGAATCTCTTTGATAAGTTTTAAGAAACAGTGACCATGTTGCAATCTGGCATCTTAACCAATTACAAAGACATCCATACTTTAAATAATATAGAAACATCCTTAACCAGTGTCTAGTTAACTATACTACAATATTATGCAACATTTCTCAGATTATTTTAATAACTGATCCAAAAGATATTTTAACAGTTTATGTTTGTTCAGATCTAGTATGGTAGGTAGTTACATGAGTAATGTGTCCATATTTACTTAAGGCTTTCTTTAATGAGGACCATTTAGCAAAGACCTTTAAAAGTCATAACACACACACACACACACACATACACACAAAGCATCGTCATCAAAAAATGCTTCATGAACTATGTTACATATGTATTTGTGTATGTATATATATGCAATCACAATCAGATGCATATCAATGGATTATCATTAGAACATCTAGATAGATTTTAAATTACTGTGTTGAAAATGTCAGTGATGTGTACAGAATAGTGATGTTCTTAGCATGCAGAAACTGCCGGATCCTAGTCCCCTTCCTTACTGGAGACCATGTTACTTGCACAGGTAATCCCGCATAAGCCACTTGCTATTTGTTCTTCACCACACTCTTAGCCACTCCCTGCCTCTCTTCCTAATCTACGAACTGGGGAGTAATGTTGACTGCAAAACATTTAAGCACTTTCTGTGAAAGGTAGGTACCAAATTCATAAATACAATAAGTGAGTTTTGCAGCTATGAATGATTTATTCAACTTTCATTTTCCCCCACTGATCAGTGTTTACTTGACAGGGTTTTCCTTTTATGAAATTTGGATCTTTATGTCTTTCACAAATGTCTGATGAGTGTTTCTAAGTACTTTCCTTTTTTTGGTGGGCTGTATCAAAGAAAGATAATGTTTTAAAATGCATAGGATACATTTCTTCATTATGTTGCACAGTAATGAACTCAATGGTGTTTTCATGGACAGAAACAATTAAGACTAGAGATGTTTGGAGTGTCGTCTTTGGATCTTGTTGCTTCCAGGTCTTTGTTAATCTATGTTAATCTAAATACCAGAAGGGAAAATTATTCTTTCTTGAGTCGATGAGTTGTGACAAGGGGGTTCTAATAGCATGATCATTGCAGATAACCAGCTCTGCTTTCTAAAGTCTATTTAAAAGGTGGGACATCAGCTCAAGTGAATAGATTACAGTGTATTAGACAAACCAGATGGTATTCATCTGAGAATCCTAAAGGATTAATCATGTGGATAAGTGAGCAACTAATAAAAAGATCAACATTCACCTTAAAGAGTCTGTGAAAGGGACAAGACATTTGGTGGAAACTGAATCCTTTATTTAAATATTACTAATATCAGTTGTACAGCAAACTGACACCTGCTAAAAATAATTACTGTAATCAGAAATATAACACAAAGAGATGGTGAAATGAGGAAACACTCATATTTTCTAAAAAGGACATGTTTTTTTCCCATTAAAATGCATTGTGAACAAAATTTATGTTAGTTATATGGATCTAGCTAATGGCACCTTTGGATAAATATTTCTGAAGTTTAATATTAATTGAATTAATTTCATGTATTTCATAAAATACATAATTTGTTTTATAGCTCCAAATTTTTATATTGAAACATTTATTGAGATGAACAGAACGGGATTTCTGTGATCCACATAGTTAACCAGATTCTTAAAATGCCAGAATATCTGCATAACCCTACAGGTCACATAAACAAGAACACTGGCACTTGGAATCAAGATAATTAAAAGAAACCCTATAATGTAAATGGTAACTGTCGTTAATAAAATGAACAAACTTAAATTTGGAAGTTAAAAGCTATGTACCATGTGTGAGCAATGTGACCATGTGTAAGACCAGCTATTTTAGAGCAGAATGAAAAAAGGCTGTGGATATTTTGTCTTTGCCTCTTACAAAGAACTCAAAATGCTACAGTTTCATTTGGCAAGCTCAAATGATTGGTGAGGATCTTTTATTTACATTTCTGTATGCACACACATACATACACTATATATACATTATATGTATTGCATAATATATATTATATATATCAAATGTTCTCATGTAACTAGAGTGTTTTTAGAGGGAGGGAATAGATTTTTTTTCCTGTCACAGACAGGATGAGAGAGAAAGAGAGAGAACAAGATCACTAGAGGCATGCTAACAATCACAAAATTTTCAGTTTTATTTATTTATTATTGCATGTGTTCATATGTGCACAACATGTATATATATATGCCAGAGAACATGTGTAGAGGCCAGAGGAGAACCTTTGGGAGTCAGTTCTCTCCCATTTTCTTGAGGCAAGCTCTTCTTGCATCTGCCAAGCTCTGTGTCCCAAGGAGCTGATCCGCAAGCTCTGGATGAATCCACAGCTTCTGCTGCCTCTGCCTCCCGCCACACGAGCCCTGGGATTACAGATGCACACCACAGCATCTGATAGTACTGGGACAGAACTCAGGCAGCAGGCTTGACAGCACTCTATCATAGGATTTGGAAATAGCGATATTTTTTCATCCATGTTTAGATATTGTGAAGAGTTAAACCGAATAGACCGCTTGTTTCCCAAGGCTTAGAAATGGGTCCTGTCTTTTATAAGGACTCATGGTTTGCAAAGAACTACAACACAACCAAGCTACCCATTTGTAACATTTTCCGAAAGAGCACCGAGCCTGTCTTTGATGATTCTGGAGGCACTTCATGCATTTTTGGTAAATTTGAATGAATATTTATGAATGTTCATTATTACTATAATCAAGGCATGCAGAGATGCCAATTAATAGAGAATTCTGATGAGAGCTGTTATATCCCCTAAGCTTCCATGATGGACCATCCATTCTCATCTGCCCTCAATAACCATGTTGCTGTTGTCAATTTTGACAACTTTATTCTCCTAAATGCAATGCCCTAATTCAAAAGTAAGTCTTTGTATATAAGTTTCTCTAACCTCTATTTTTTATTTTAACTCATAAAGCCAGCTGAGATCCTTTTAACCCAGGTTCCTGGTCCTAATTTCCTACCTGGTGATTTCCTTGGAAGATAACCAACCAGTGAAAACAGGCAGTGAAGGCAGCGGATACAATGAGAGACCGAGAAAGTGGAAGAAGCCTTCTTAGTCTTCCTGTTGATGTCATACAGAACCGATGTCTTCAGACCACTGGTGAGATTTGTCATTCAACTCTGGGACTTTCGCAACCTCAATTAACAATAAAAGAAGCCAATATTCTTTTAAAGGAAAATTTCTGAGCAGAAAGTTCCTATCCAAGTTCTTAGTCTAATATATGGCATCTTTATGTTGTTGTCTGTCCTTAAAATACAGGCAGACAAAGGTCTGGCAAGTGGCTAAGTGAGCAAAGGTGCTTCCTGCCAAGTTTGTGACCTAACTTTGATCCCTAGAACTCACAAAAGGAAAGGAGAGAAGTGACTGACATAGGTTGTCCTCTGGCTTCCACATATGTGTACATATGGAGAGAAGCATACGTATAAACATAATAAAAATTTTAATTAAAAAATTCTGCATTTCCTTCCACCAATTCAGTTCCAACTCCATATTTGTTGTTTTTTTACTCATATTATCAAGCTGAGGAAAAGCCTAGAAATTTCATGCCGCTCATGCAAAATCTACCCATTGTTATTTCACGGTTCTCCTGGCAACACTGCCTGCTGTGGGCTGTTTCTTCCCAGTATGTGCCTGGTGTTGTCAGTTTGGGGTATTCCGATCCCCTTCCATGATCACGCTTTTATTGCTGGTTTGCCATTTTCATATCCAGCCCCTTCCTATTCCTTGACAAGGGTACTGGCCTCTAGTGAAGAAGATGAAATGTAAATGTTTCTCACTCTTCCTCCTTTTATTTTTTTATTAAAATTGCAGCATAAAAATGTCACTCTGAAGGAAAGCTTTGGGTTCACCATTCCCAGCTCCCCTTCCCTGTGAGGTGGATGCCTCGCCTTTTAATCATATTGCCCTTGCTTTTCTGTAAGGCAATAAAAAATGTCTCAACAGAGGTTTCTAGATATGACTTAAGTATAAAAAAATGGAATTAAAAATGTCTGATGATGTAGAATTCATTCCACAGGGACCCCATGTATTTCCCAAGGTTTTATTTTCTTCTTGCCTTCTGCTAGTCTTTCTTAATTTTGTCTTAGATAATTCTTCCTCCCAAATATCCCCTTAGGAATTGAAAGTCTTCCTTTCCTGGCTCTCCTGCTTTTCTTCTTCCTTCTCAGCACACTCTTTGTTTTCCCCTGTGGACTCTGGCTCAACCCTCTTCAGTAGTCATCATGGCTAGAGGTCTTAGTCTACCTTCTCTGATTTATCAACTGAGTGTGACCTGAGGTCCCGTGATTATCCCCTTCCTCTGATGGACCAGATACATGAATGAACATCTGCTCATAGGAGACTCTCATCAATGGACTGAGGGTGCCAGTGGGGGATGCCGATGCCATCAACCTTGCAGATTTTGCCTGCTTCTAAGCTGACCAGTTTCCTAATCACATTTCTTAAATCTCCACATCACACATTTGGATGCCAAGCCCCATGTCTTCAGGCTTAAACCGGAAACTGCCCTGCCTCCTGGGTATTCCTTATAAACTGCAGATCCCCCTCCGCTGCGTGTGTTAAGTGCCTTTAGTCTCTCCCCCATTTATGGCTGGGCTGAGTGCTGTGTCACAGTGTTTAATGTGCATTGCCTGCCTGACAGTGTAAGGTTCTGGTGGGGCTAGAATGGGATGGAACCAGCTGGCCTAAGGAGTTCTCATACTCATACTGTTCCGTTCTTAAGAAATATTCCGGGTAACCCATTCTAAACATGGGTTCCATTGAAGACTGGCTTTTCTGGAAGCCTCTCTTGCTTTTCCAGACCCTTTCATTTGGCTTTTTCTTTCCACCTAGCTTCTCGCCTTCAGACTTCCATGTAACCGAAGAATCCACAGAAACAGGAACCCATTGTGGTATGGTAAGCAGCTCGTACCACAGTACCTAGTGATCATTGCTGCAGCATACACGCTGCTGTACCATCCCAGATCCTGAACAGGAGCTGTTTTCTAAGTAATAGTGTGCAGGAAAAAATGTTGGGATTCTAGAAGCTACTCTGGGCTTAGACTATGAAAATTTATCTTTCTGACTCTTTGTGAAGCTCTTTTCTCATTTTCCCTTCCCCTCTTCCCCCTCCCTTCTTTCTGAGTCTCCATCTTGGTGTCTCCATCTTTGAGGCTTCTCATTGGCTTCTTCCCACACTGTGAGCTGCTCAGTCTGGATATCTTCATTAGGATACCCTACCAATACTCCTCAGAAGTCTGAGGCTCTTTGTCCAGTAGCCAGTGAGACACTGAACATGCAAGTAATTAGGAGTATGCTTAGAGATTACTCTTCTGGCCACACCACAGGTGTGGCCCCCTGGCTCTTAGTGTGTCAAATCTGTGCAAGAGACACGTCAGCAGAACCACCCAAGCTGCAAGCAGACACCTGAACCACTAAGATGTAATAAAGTGGTTGTTAATTTATGTCTCTTTGTTTATAGTTGATTTGCTGAATGTCATAGGTACATGTTATGGACATAGTGTGTGTATCAGACTTGTTATTCCACATGAGCAGCAGCAATGCTCTCATGAAGCAGTCAACTCCATTTCTTCAGGGTGTAATGTCTGAATCAGAGCAGCACATTCCTTTAATCGTAGCACTCAGGAAGCAGAGGTAGAAGCAGAAACATGTAGATGTAACCAACTGTCTTATTAAATAAGAAACACAGAACAAATGCAAAGAAGAAAGCCAAGAGGTCAGAGCTAAGAGCTAAAACCTTACCCTTCATCCTGCGGTGGTCCTACCTCTCTGAAAGAGAGCTACTTCCTGTGTTAAAGTCTTTATAAAGACTTTCGGTTCTGCCTTCTCATTGGTTGTAAACCCAACCACATGACTGCCTTGTCACTGCCTGTCTGTACAGACCTCCAGGTCTTCTATGGTTGGTACTGAGATTAAAGGTGTGCGTATCCAATGCTGGCTGTATCCTTGAACACACAGAGATCTGCCTAGCTCTGCCTCCCAAGAGCTGGGATTAAAGGCGTGCACCACCACTGCCCAGTTTTCCTATGGCTTGCTAACAGCTCTGACCCCCGGGCAACTTTATTTATTAACATACAAATAACATTTTAGTACAAATAAAATATCACCATGGAAACAGGATCAGGCAACTCTTAGGGTTCTGTTTTACACAGTGAATTTCAGGCCTGTTGGAGTTACATAGTAGACCTTGTCTCAAAACAAGAACAGCAGAATTTATTGAAGCTATACATACCTGTAATTCTGGTACATGAGAAGTGGGCAACACACACACACACACACACACACACACACACACACACGTGCATGCAAGCGTGCACATACTCTTGCCCACCTGTATACAGGACCAGCATGATGCCTTGCTGTGCAAGCCTGGTGGTCTGAGTTGGTCCTCAGCACCCATGTAAAGGTGTAAAGAGAGAACGTATTCCACAAAGCTGCCCTGTGACTTCTGCTTGTACACCATAGCAGGTGTGAGCACACACATAACACATACATGCAACACCAATAATTTCTTAAAGTTAAAACCCAACTGTGTGTGTGTGTGTGTGTGTGTGTGTGTGTGTGTGTGTGTGTGTGTGTGTGTAGACCTAATGAAGAATTTCCCTTTCTCTAAAATGTTACAAAGAACCACTGGCTGTAAGTTGGTGTGACAGTTGGGTCTCTGAGTGACCACGTTGAACCACTTTAAGCAGGAAAGCAGCATGTTAAAAAGAAATTGGCAGGTTCTAGAATCAATGAGCACTGAAGAGTCCATGGGAATGAGAGGGTAAACCCATCAATGCCAGGCCAGGTCCTGCCACGGACACTGGCCTCAGCATGCTGGAGCACCTTGCTGCTTCTCACCATTCTCTGAGGACTCCAAGTCCCTAGTGGACATCTGCTGCCTGAGCTGCAGCCACACACTTCAACCCCGTGTTGGAGTGCAGAGCCGTGAGTTCTGCTCCCCCTCCAAAATCACTCAAGAATATGTAACCCTAAAGGAGTCAGATGCAAGATGGGTGACCAGAAAAATAACCACCTGAAATAAATGAACTATTTCAAAACGTGGTAAACTCATCCCTTGAAACAGTTCCTTCCCTGGGTGGTTTAATTTGACTTCTCCTTCTCCCTCCCTCTCCCCTTCTCCTCTCCTCTTTCCCCAGTCCAGAAATTGGCAATGCCAGCAGGTAAATAATCTGCAAGTGCTCTGCAAATGAGCTGCCTCCCCAGTTCTAGTACTGCCTTCCACATCACCTCATAATATAGATAATGTCTGTGTGTTTGTACATGTATACATACATACATCACCTCATAATATAGATAATGTATGTATGTTTGTACATGTATACATACATACATACATACATACATACATACATACATACATACGGTCATGTAGATTCCCATTCAGTACCCACTTTTTAAAATAATGGCCCATGCATATGCATTAATTATGGCTCCCCTCTCCCCACTGGCTTTCCATCTATTATAGTCATTTTTAATCAGATGAGTGAAGTAGGGGTGCTTATATGACCTCTGTGCTCATGTGTATTGGCATACTTGTAGTCTAAGGAAATAATTGAAATGTGCTGGGTACTAGGCCTCATGTCTCTTGCAAAGACGTAGACTAGTGTTTCCTTTCTGTCTGTTATCTGTGTTTTCCAAAACTAATCTGAATGCTTCCTGCAATGTGTTCTAGTAGCACCTTTTCCCATGTGGAACGAATTATGAGTCGGCCACTAAATCCAGCCCTTAGGAATGTGTTTTCTCCCACTGATATCTATGCTTGACAATGGCCTCTCATCTCTTGGTTCTCAAAATCTCCCAAGCATAGGCTTGAGTGGGAAAGTCGCACCAGTGACCCCCTTTGCTCCCCTAGATCTTCCTAGAGCGTTCAGTCCCTCCTCACAGTGAGTTCTAATGCCTTGGATTTGGGGTGATGGTCACCTCTGTTTGTCTTCCTTCCCTCCTCAAGTGGGCTCTGGTCATCTTTCTGCCCAGACCCCCTAATGATTTATTGTAGTTATTTAGTTGTTTTTGTTTTTTGTTTTTGTTTTGTTTTGTTTTTCTTTTGCTGTATCTGTAATTACTAGCCTCTTCCATGAAGCCAATTTCCACTCTCTTAGGAAGAATAAATTTCTGCATTCTTTGTCCTAAGAACTCAGCCTGTCTCCTCCTAACCCTCTGTCTAGCATCTCGACCCTAACTGAAGCTCTTTCTAAAACTCATGGGTGTTGAGGAGAAACAGAATTTTGTCAGACACAAATGGGGAAGGTGATTTCCAGATGAGGTTTCTAGGCAGATCAGTGACAGTATTTCATTCCTGTCATATTTGTAATGATTCTGAGCATGCATAACGCTAAACAAGATGCATCTTTAGCCATCTTACTGCCATTTGTTACCTCCAAATACGTGCCTAATGTCCTTTATAGAATTTTATTATGATGATAATTTGTTCATCCATAAATTCCTTCCCTTCTTTTACTTTGTATACAATTCTTTCAAAAGAAACTTTGGGGAAAGGAAACATTGGGAAAGTTTTCCATTTCTAAATTACACACACACACACACACACACACACACACACACACACACACCTCCTGTCTTTACTCATTCACTCCATTTTTCACTTCAGGACATAAAAGCTAAACTCTGTTCTCTTACTTTCTAATGCAGAAACAGTCTTCAGTGGAAAAGATTTGCCTTGAGTCACAGCTTCAGTTAACAGGAGAATCATCCTTAGTTATCCTGGGGAAAAAACAAACCAGTTGTATCACAGTTCCAGTGAGGACCACCCTGCTGTTTCCACATTGCTGATCAATCATACGGTCCTCTCAGGAGTTTTAGGTGGGATGCGTTTCTCCGAGACGCTGATTTCCACTTTTTCTTTGGAACCTCTGCACATCTTGAGAATGAGCGCTCAGTCCCCATGGCCTACTCTGGCCTCTGCTGTTCCAGGTCTGAGTTTCTCTGCCACCAGCTCACTCCTCGTCCTCTCTTCCTTCCTCACTTTTGTGATGATTTATCATGTTTCCTCCTTTCTTACTTTCATTTACTCACCATAACTGCATGTGTGGAGCACAGGGTGACATTTTCAATGCACGCCCATGATGGGTGATAAACAAACCAAAGTCATTAGCATCTCTGTTACCTCAAACATTTACCGCTTCTTCTTATTGGCAATGTTCAAAATCGTCTCTTGTAGCTAGTCTGGAATGTACTAAAAATTGTTGCAAATTATAGTCATTCTTGGTGTCATTGAACACTGGAACTTGTTCCTTTCTCTCACCAGCATTTTATCTTGTTTCAAGCCTTTATCCCCTCAATTAAGGGTGATTGTCTGATTACCTGCCCCCCTCCCGCCCACCAGGCTCTGTAACCACTGTGCTACTTTCTACTTGTCTGTGAACAATGTTTTCTTTTTTCTTTTTCATTTCCCTGTATCAGTGAGAACCTGATACAGTTGTCTCTAATTTCCTGTCATATTTTGCTTAACACTGTGTCCTTGGTCCTCATCCACTGCTGTGGATATTGTTCTGTGTATTGTGAAAATGTTGTTCTGATTGGTTAATAAATAAAGTGCTGACTGGCCAGTAGCCAGGCAGGAAGTATAGGCAGGACAAAGAGAGAGGAAAATTTTGGGAACAGGAAGGCTGAGTCAGGAGTCGCCAGCCAGACACATAGGAAGCAAGATGTGAAGGCAGAACATTCCTTCTGCCTTCTGAGAAAAGGTACCTAGCCACATGACTAAACATAAATAAAAATTATGGGTTAATTTAAGTGTAAGATCTAGCTAGCAAGAAGCCTGAGTCTTTAGGCCAAATAGTTTAAATAATGTAAGTGTCTGTGTGTTTATTTGGGTCTGAGCGGCTGCAGGCCCAGGCGGGACTGGAACTTCAGCTACAATCCACATTGCCACAAATGACAGGATTTCACTCTTTTTTGTGGCTGGATTTTATTCCTGCTATGGGTTTGTTGTTGTTGTTTGTTTCTTGCTTCTTTCATGTTAATCGCTTTTCACTCCTCTGTAGAGTGATGCCCCTGCCTGGGATGAGCTCCCACAAAAGCTCTCTCAAAGGGACCCCTGATCATTCTACTGACCCACAAGAAGATCCCCAATACCCTCCACATTAGCACTGCTAGTCTTTCTCAGCCACAAACTGCAGAAGTCCACACAGGGTTTATGTCTTCCAAATGATTTAGGGATAGACTATAAAGATGGCACTAATTAATCCTGGCTGGATGGCACATCTTCCACCTAGCAGGGTTCCAGAGACCAACCAGTCACCAGGCTTGTCCTAAAGTACCTTCATCCACCAAGATAGTCTCTCCAGCCCCAGAATGCTTGATTTTAAAGACTGGTGCTTGACTTGCTTCTGACTTGAGTTTCATAAAAACTTATTGTATGAATTTTGGCTTGGGATGAAGACAGATTTTTAATATTTTCTAAAATGGCCCTGAACATAATTTTTGTGTTATGTATTTATGTGAAGCCATATTCTCAGCAGTGATGATTATAAAATCAAAATATTTATAAGCTCCAGAAACTGCTGAAGAGGCTTTATATCATGCTGTATGAGCTACTCAGCCAAGATTTCATGCTTTCTATTAAAATAGACAGGCATGCTCATCTCATTAGTATGCAGATTTTCATTAATCCTTAATGAATGGTGAAGTTATATGTCTATGTTTTAAAGAATTATTTTTAAATAAAATTATTTTTTATTTATTATCAGTGAATGGTTTGTATACCTGACTCATATTCCTCTATATCCAGGGTCATGTAAAATGTTCTCAGGTGAAAGGAATGGAGAGTAGAAAAAGTTGGAGAAACTCTTCTCTAGACTAAGAACACCCAAAAACTTTCTAAAATAGTGTTAAGGGTCATTATGAGTCCACTATAAAGATTCTAGCTAAAGAACTGTCTACAATAATGTTAAATTTCATTATAAGTCCACTATAAAGATTCTAGCTGAAGAACTGTCTGTGATAACGTTACATTTATTATAAGTCCACTATAAAGATTCTAGCTGAAGGACTGTCTGTGATAACGTTACATTTATTAGAAGTCCACTATAAAGATTCCAGCTGAAGAACTGTCTGTGATAACGTTACATTTATTAGAAGTCCACTATAAAGATTCAAACTATGTGTGCACAGCTGTATGATGGCAGCCGATGAAAGTCAGAACTTTGCTTTCAACTGGTAGTTGGTGGCGCACGCCTTTAATCCCAGCACTCTGGAGGAAGAGACAGGCAGATCTTCGAGTTTAAGGCCAGCCTGGTCTACAGAGTGTGGGAGCCCAGCTGGGCGACTGGCTTCCACATTTTATAACAGGGAACTCTTGAGGAGAGAGGGATAAGAGATATTAGATAGAAGGATAGAGGGAAGAGAAACATAGAAACACAGGATAGCCTCAGGAGGGGCTAATCCTTATCCACTGGCCCCTTCTGTCTCTTCTAAGGGGCTTTTTAAAGGAATGCCAAGGGGTAGAGCAAAAGACCTGCCCCTAGCTCAGCCAAGTGCAGACCCTTCCAATCCATGCACATGGTCAAGCCATCCTCAAACGCAGCCCTGCTGGGTGGAGCAAGCTCAGATTTCACTAGGAAACCTCTATGGGCCTCCACAACAGAGTGAGTCCCAGGACAGCCAGGGCTACACAGAGAAACCTTGTCTCAGCAACCCCAGAAGAACTTCTCTTTCTCAACTTAGCTTTGCCTCCCCAACTCTGAAAACAGTGACCAGTACATAGGAGATACTCAGCAGCTGTTAGCTGACTGACAAGGATTATTTCTCTATTATTCTCCTTAAAAATATTTCTCAATTTGTTTATTTGAACGTTTTTTATTTGATTTGAAAAAATGAAAGAGATTAATGCCAAATTTCTGGTCTTCATGAAAATCTCAGAATGTGTCAGCTAACTGTCATCACAGGCACACTCCAGAACAACCTACTTTAAAATCTGGTGCTTTCCAACAAAGACCATTCATTCTTGCTCATACATCCCTGTGTCTCTTTGGTGCAGTGCAGTGCACCTGAGAGGTGAACAACAGAGGGGGTGGGCTGGATCTAGACATGTCTCTGCCTCTCCTCCCGCTCTTTATGTTAGCAAATTACCAGGGCTGCCCCCCCCTCCCCACAGCTGGGGCAGAGGAGCAAGAAGACAGAAAGTCATTTTCAGCTTCCACTGACATCATACTCAAGAATACCTCATTGGTCAGAAGAAGGCTCATGGAATGGTCCACATCTAGACAAAGGAACACACATCAGCCTTTAGTCATAAAAACACAGCAGAGGACATGGAAACAGGATGAGTTAAAAACTGGATCAAATGACCCAGTCTACTATTCATGACTTTTAGAGGAATATCATAAAATACATGATCATGGGTAGTGTGCATGGCTGGTGTACTGACAACTTGACACAAGCTAAAGTCATCTTGAGAGGAGGGAGCCTCACCTCAATTGAGAAAACGCCTCCATAAGATCAGGATACAGGCAAGCCTATACGGCCTTTTCTTAATTACTGATTGATGGGGGAAGGACCAGGCCATTTTGTGTGATGCCATCCCTGGGCTGGTGGTCCTGTTATTATAAGAAAGCAAGCTGAGCAAGCCATGGAGAGCAAGCCAACCAACAGCATCCCTCCCTGTCCTCTGCATCAGCTCATGCCTCCAGGTTCCTGCCCCGGCTTCCCTCAGTGATGGGCTGTTTCCTGAAAGCATAAGCTGAAATAAACTCTTTCTTCCCCAAGTTGCTTTGGTCATGGTATTTCATCACAGCAATAGCAACCCTAACTAGGACACGGGGCTTTCCAGGGAAGTGTTAATCCAAACAGTGTTTTAGTGGGAATTACATGGCAGAGTCCTCTCTTGTAGACACAACTTCCAATTCTGCTTGGGAAGAGCAGCAGCTGGTTTCCAGCAAGCAACTGCCACCCAGGAGGCTCCTTGCATGACCAGTCTGGGGGACTCTCAGGTTTCTTCCCAACAGAGGAGAACTTTCCCTCCTCTGTGGCAGCTTTGCTGTTGATATCCCTGTCGATGCCTGTACACAGGGTACCTCTTCATCCACACCACCCACCACATTCACAAATTTGCCTCTGTCGATTAAGACTTCCCGACACTTGCTGCATTCTCCAGACAAATGCATCCATAAAGGCTTCCCATAGTTAGTTTTCATTCTAGAAAGTCTAAGGGATAAACATTGAGTTACATGGAACTATCATGAAAATGATAAAGTAAAACCTATATGTTGAAAGCAATTGAGAAAGGAGAATATTGATTAGTTAACCTTGGAATATGAATTAGGGGCACATTTTGACTATGCTATGTGATAATCCAAAATCCTCTTTAAAACAAGGATTTGTTTTTAAAAAACAAAAACAAATTACTTGTTTCTTTTTACAATTATTATAAACTTATAATCCCAAATTATAGACTAAAATGTATATATATTTCTAAAAACATCCACAGGACTATGATTGACAGAATAATTTACCATTTTTAAATGATTTGATATTTTAAAATCCCCATCTGCATGATCTTAAGCCAGACCTTGACAATGAAGCCTTACCCCACCACATGCCTGTGACCACCTCCTCAGGACTCTGGAGCCGAGGCGTCGTCTTCGAAGAACTCACCAGTCTCTTCCCACCTTCTCTACTCCTGCCTCAAGTAGGAGGTTCACCCCCAAAGACCTCTCTTTCTTTGTCACTCTGCACTTGTAGAGAGTTTATTATGTGACAGGATCACCAGGATAAAAATCCATTGTCTCAAGGCGGAGACAGATGGGCAAATAATTCCACGACTACATTCTAACGACAAACGCAAGGAGATGAAGCTTCCAGGCTCTTGGGCACAGAGAACGGACCGAGGAACACCGTGTAGCAATGAGAAAGCAGGAACTTGTTTCCTGAGAAACCAGAGAACAGAGGATGGCTGAGCATTGGCTTCCTAGATTTTACATCTTCTGATGTAAAAATAATGAACGTAAGAATGAGTGTGGGATGGCAGGTGCTTTAGACTGAGGGTAAAATGGTAAAGGCAAGCTTGTCAATTGTAAGACTGGACTGGGAGAAGACTAGAGACACCAAGAGCCTAGCAAGGATGGGCGCAGAGAATCACCACGACACGTTATGGGAAAGGGAAAGAGGATGGCAGGGGCGAGTAAGCCATGATCACAATGAGCCCAGCATTTGAGGGTCACAAATGACCCGAGAGCCGGACGGTGGGGACAGGTCACCCAAGAGCCGGACAATGGGGACAAGGACACCTCAGTGCTGGATGGTGGAGACAAAGACAAAGCATGTAGGGGAAATCTAGACACTGAACCTACTCCTCAGAAGATGGAGATGAAGGGAAGATGAGAGCTATTGATTCCCGGTTTTGGTAGAGGAGACTTTCACCATCTGCAGCTCTGGTGAAGGCAGAGCAGGGTTGAGCAGAAGACTTGCTAACGTGAGAAATGTCAGACATTGTATGCTGATAGGTGTTAAACAATCCCGATTTGTCACTCTTACACTTTGGAAGTGTCCCCAGCCCATGCAGGAAGGGCTCATTAACCAGCCTGTCACACCCTTGAGAGGCAGAGGGACTTTTAGGAGGTGAGATCTGAGGGGAGGAAGTGAGGTTACTGGAGATGTGATCTTGAAGAGGACATGCACACCCCTGTCCCCTCACAAGTTCCATGTGCTCGTGCTGTAGCGCCCTGACTCACCGCAGGTTCAGAGGTAACAGCGTCAACTCAGTGTGCACTAATGCTTTTACCATCATGAGGCAAAGCCTTCCTCTGTTTAAACAGATCATCTTATGCTTCTGTCACAGTGGTAGAAGACTGACCTCTACTATAACATCTTATGTAATCTGTGTCCCTTTAGTGGTGTTGGCCTCCTCATCCATAATGCTCTTAACACACAGTGCCTCGTCTATAATAATTCTACATTATCTGATTTCTTCATTACTCCTGTGGGGTTTGTAAATACCGTTATTCTAAAACAAACAAACAAACAAACAAAAACAGAAACCTGAAGTACTGACGGTGTTTGTAAAAACATGCTCCACCCATAAAATTATTTTTGTTGTTAATTCATAACTGTAATTTTGCTACTGTTGTGAACCGTAATGTATAGATCTGTGATTTCTAATAGTCTTGGGCGACCCCTGTGAAAGGGTTGCTCAGCTCCCTCACACAGAGGTCATGTCCCACAGGTTGAGAACCACTGCCCTAAAGAGAGGGAATGGTATTCTCCAAGCAACATACCACGTAGAGAATCCATGCGTAGGCTGTTATGCATTAGCAGGGATCACACTACTCTGGTTTTACTGTTTCCAAATGGAACATTCTAATGCTAAGAGTTAAGAAAGATTCTTTTCACTTTATGTTGGCAGTGAAAGTGAGTAATATAATCACACTGAAAATGTCCCCATCTCTTGCAGAATAAAAAGTTGTTTTTAAGAACTGACAACTTGGAGCACAAGGCAGTTTCTGTTTCCACTTTACCCTCAAGAACGCATTGCACCAGGAATCTGAACCCTTGAGAATAATAAAATAATTACAGTTTTATTTTACTCCATTCTGACATTCAATTTGATCCATTTGTGTCTGCGTATTTCAGACAGAAAAAAAAATGAAAGTGTTTAGCTATATCAAGGTGAGGTTTTCTAATAATCTATAATCCTCTCTAAAGAGTTTTATTTTCATTTATACATTTCTTAAAAGTTTTTTTGTCAATGGTCTTTGTACCCTGAAGATACCAGTAGAGTAACTCTCACTACAAAAAAGAAAAAAAAAATCAGAAAAACCCCATCAGTGTTTTAAAATAATTCACACATTTTTAAGTGGTGCAAACGTGTTAATATCTAACATAGGATGCCGTTTTGAATGTGTGCACATGCTTGAGCCACTGGGAAAGACTGTTCTAACACTCATACAAGTAGACTTTGATATTGGACTTCCCTATGGCAGCGTTTATCCAATGTTCATATTTTGTTGAATAAAGAACGCGGATATCTGAAAGGAGGTCTGGAAACCATCCTCTGTGCAGGGATTTAGTTTTAAAATGCATCCAGTTCAAGGGTTAAATGCAAGCCAAGCAGTCACTTCAACTGTGTTTTTGAAGAAAATAAAACAGCTTGATGTAAGTTAAACGAAGGGCGTCTATGACTTCAGAGAAATGGACACGGAGAGAAAAAGGTCACAAGATTAAATTTTCCCTAAGGGAAAAGTCCTCCTTTGGAGTCATTAACCTCCTTCTAGGTCACTCCTGAAAAACAGCAGGAAATCCTCCTGCCGGAGAAAGATGGGTGCACCTCACCACCCACTGACCCGGGAGGCAGGCTGCATCTCATCTCACTGCCCAGCTTCCCTTGGGGCATGCCTGATTTTTAAGGCCTTTGTTTTAAAGAAACAAGATCTCTCCTTTTTGAACTCTGAAGATAGAAAATATGCAGCATGGTTGTCCACACACAGGAAAGCCTAACACTCTTCTGATAGACAAAGGAAATATATAAAAATTGATGGCAGTTGCTTCAGAATCCAAGCAGCTTGTGAGCCTCCCCCACAAAATTGTCCGAGCCATGCAATCTTTGTAACCTTAATTTTCAATATCTACTTACCATCCCTTCAAAAATCTGAGTCTTCTGTGTCTCCACAGATCCTACCGTCAGCTAGCATGAAGGTCTTCTTTGTCAGAGCACCACGGCTGAAGGAACTCTTTGAACATAGTCTTTGCTAGTTCTGTTATTTATCTATTGATTCATAAAACGAGGGCACGGGTACCAGAAGAAGGCTTTAGATATGAAAATGGAATTATTTAGAGGAAAAAACAAATACAAATGGGTCCTTGACAAATCAATTTTAAATACTTCCTCATCCTTTCCCCCCCTGATCTGGGACAAATATTATTGCTCATTTAGTTAGAATATATGATTTATAAATTATAAAATAATAGTACTACCTGTGTACATCCCCAGCTTTTCCTGATGTAATGCACCACAAAATAAAACACTGTTAAATAAGGAATTTGACTGCTCAACAAACACGAGACTGAAGGGTAGAGTTCAGGTCATTTCTTTATTATTATTATTATTATTATTATTATTATTATTATTATTATTAAGAAATTTTTTTTTAGCCGGGCGGTGGTGGTGCACGCCTTTAATCCCAGCACTCGGGAGGCAGAGCCAGGTGGATCTCTGTGATTTCGAGGCCAGCCTGGGCTACCAAGTGAGCACCAGAAAAGGCGCAAAGCTAC